CCTGTTTAGGAATATGAAATGACCAGAATTTTTTAAAGCTTACATCATTTTCTCTTACTATTTTTGCCATAACACTTTATGCAAGGGTACAATAAAGGCAAGAGGCAAAGAACAGAGTTACTAAAAATCAAATAAAAACTTCTGCACTTTCTTCTAAAATGAATAAAAGAATGTTCTACTGCTAAATAAAAGAGCTTCATTTTGGTGCAACCTGGCTGTTTGGAAAAGAGGACTCTTCATTTGGGCCATGGGTCGTCAGAAGGGGCATTGCACATTCTCCCTGCATTCTCCAACATGCTGCTCCACCAGCCTTTGACCCCTCTTGCTGGGTGACTGTTTTTCCAACGCCCACACAGCCCGACACTCTCCTGTGCTGTCTCCAAGGTCTGCAACCTGGAGCTGTCACCAGAGTTTCCTTTCTTACTCTCAACAATCCAGCGCTCTCAAGTAGCTGATTCAGAAACCATCTAGACTGTATGATGACGTTGAAGATAAGTTCGTTTGCAAACAGCAATTAATCGGTGAAATTATTATTCTTTACATGTTCCTTCATTCTTTCTTTTTCATTACGATTTAGCGGTCTGGTTGGGATAGAAACCACGAGGAAATCAGCTAATTCAGATGTATAGTTGAAACTTTCTTTTACTCTAAGAAGGAAATGTGCTTTAGAGGTTCACTAAACGACTTTTTCTTTTCTCCCCACCCACCTCCATCTTTCGAGCTGCCTCACTTTCACTCCCCACCTACGACATACACTCATTATCCTTATTTACTTGGGTCTCACTGAAATACATGTTATTCAGTTACAGAGGTTTATTAAAATAGAACAAGACGGCCATGGTTGAATACACCTAAAGTCTCCATGCTTTAGGAGGCTGAGATGGGAGGATTGCTTGAACTCAGGAGTTCAAGACCAGCCTGGGCAACAAAGTGAGACCCTTACTCAGAAAAATAAGAAAACACAGCAAAAAACTATTAATCACCAGAGGCTTTAAAGATGCCCCAGTTTCCCTAAACACCCTGGTTAGCAAAAAGAAATGCATAATGCCATGATGTGATTTGAGAGATTCTAGGAGAGCTCCCTCTAGCATCCTCACTGGCTGGCCATTATTCAAAACCCCAATGTTAGCAGCTCCTTTGAAATAATCACAAGAGCATTTTCGGATTCAGCTAAAATTTCTACTCCGCGCCTTAGTCAAGTGACCTTAACAAAGCCATTTATCATCTCTGAGCCTCAGTTTCTTTTTCTGGGAAAAAGAAATAATAAAACCAACCAAAAGAGTTGTTAAGATGTTATCATGAGATATAGTATGTAAAATACTAAGAACAATTCAGGATATGATAGGTAACATTTAAGTGACAATACTATCTATGAATTGTAACATATTAAACTGCTATGCACTGGGTGCTATATCAGGCCAAGTCAGTTTTCTGATTAATTTCACAAGAGCAAAAACTTGAGGGAATTTTACAAGGCAAGAATATTCAAAGTTTCTAAGAGGCATGCAGACTGGCACGGATATAAAAAGGGGCATAGTGGTCTAAAACAAAAATTTGAAATGTGTGGAAAGTCAGTTTGACCATGTGTTGGTCAAGAAAGAAATGACAAGTATGTTGAACGTGATAATTTCACAAATGTGTTAGCTTGTGTATTTTTTCTTTCTGCAGTAAATACTAGAGTTTGATAGATAAATAATGAGTGCATTTTCACAAAGATATGCCTGGTCTCTTTTGTGAATGCTTATTGTATGCCCACAATTCTTCTACAGGCAGAGCTAGCTCACTGTTAGTTCCATGCAAGGAACTTCATAATCTGGATTTGACCTCCCTCCCTGCCTTCATCTTCTATACATTTCTCACATGACCACTGTGCAACAAACACACCAATATATTTGTGGTTTAAGAGTGGTGATTTTTATGTTGTTTTACATCTCCCCTTGCACACAGATGTTTCTCCTACCCCCACCCCCAACTGTAGTACGCCAGTTTGTTTATTTCTTTAACTAGCTTATTTTGCTCTTTCGAAACTTAACTGCTGCTTCTCTTCACAATCTAAATTTCCCAGCTCATTTACACCCCAGGTCCAGGCACATATGTGCTTATTTCTGTCACCAAATTTATCACACTGACCCATGTATTCCTATTAGGTTGGTGCACCCACCTAATAACTAACTAGCCCTTTCTTTTCCTCTGTTCTGAGGGTTCCTCAAGGGCAGGGACTATAATGCCCTTGACTTTCTCTGCACAGCAGACCGCCTGTCAGGCACAGAGTAGGCACTCAGTAAGTAAGCGGTAAATCAGTAGATGTCTGATGAAGTAATACATACAGATGCTTCTGTGATGAATTATTTATAAAATCTCTTTATCACAGGCTATTACTTACACTAAGGCAAGGAATGAAACTCAGAAATGTTGAATCAGAATCTAAGTCTCTGTTCCTTCTGGAGAATGACAGAGAAACTTACTGATCTGTTCAGACATAGACTTTGTCCCAAGATAGTCAACATGCTACTCTGGAACATTCAGGAGTGAGGCAGGCATCTTACAAGGGAAATTTCAGTCCTTTTCTCTTGAGCTTTGATAGGCTGGTTGTTGAATAGGACCTTATCTAATAATAATTTCTGATGCCCTGATAGAGGTCACTTGCCACAGAAAGTGACATTGGATGAAAATTTTTCCCTGGCTCTAAAGGAAATGGAAAGCAGCATGAAATGTGTACAGCTTGTGGAGTAATCAAGGTGAGAGAAAAGACATTATGAAGAACCCCTCCGATCTCACTCTAGATGATACAGTGAAGTCATCAGATGAGGGGTTCAGAGGTTATTGAAACAGCGAACAGGTCAAAGGAGGGAGATGCTTGAAGCTGAGTGGAAGAGATCAGTGGAAAGTTCCAGAAAAGGAGATGCATAGCACTTCAGCCCAATTAAGGGATATAAGGGCATGATCCTCCCTGCCCCTCGGTGTGCAGTAAATTAAGCCAAGATCAGTTGTTCCCTAGGAAGAGAAGACACTGAGGCAGATGTTCTAGAAAGAAAGGGGTAAAGGGAAAGCAACAGCAAAGATCAAGAATGCAGCTAAGAACAGAGTCAGAGTCGGCTGGGCGTGGTGGCTCATGCCTGTGATCTCAACACTTTGGGAGGCCAAGGTGGGGGATCACAAGATCAGGAGCTTGAGACCAGCCTGACCAACACGGTGAAACCCTATCTCTACTAAAAATACAAAAATCAACCAGGTGTGGAGGCAGGCACCTGCAATCCCAGCTACTCAGGAGGCTGAGGCAGGAGAATCACTGGAACCTGGGAGGTGGAGGTTGCAGTGAGCCAAGATCGCATCACTGCGCTCCAGCCTGGGCAACAGCAAGACTCTGTCTCAAAAAAAAGAAAGAAAAACAAAAAAGGAGTCAGTCAAGGGTAACTAGGGGAAGCACTCCCTCCTCTTCTAGCTCCTATATCTGCTTCTTTGATTATATATATAGTGTCTAATATCATGCACTGTCAGAGTAAACTTATAAATCAAAGGAATGAGTCAAGCCAAGTGACTGGGAACAGAGATTTTGAATATGCTTTATGTCAACACAACCATCCAACACTTCAACACATCTCCCAAGCTCATAGTTGCCATCTTGCGATAATTTTCTTCTTTAAACATTGTCTAAATTAATCTGTTCAACTAATTACCACTGAATGTCTTCTGTAGATCTTGAGAGACATAATGTTTAAAGCGACATGGCCTTCACCCAGGATACAAATCATAGTTGATTTGCAGGCATCCATAATAATGACATAGAACTCACTGCAGGGCAAAGTGGGAGCTCAAAGAATGCAGAAATCCATTCTACCTGTGGTTAACTATATCTAATTTTACCTACATGGGGAGGCAAAATTCATTACCATATGACTTCAGCCTGCTTAAGTTTAGGAGAAGGCACTAAGGTAACCTGCCATGGTGTCCAGGGAGCGCTAGGGTGTTGTGAAGTGATAATTCACATCTCCTGGGACCCAATGAAGGCAAATGGCTGGTGCTTTCCTTCCTGAACTGAGATTTTGACTTAACCTTGTATTTTATGTGACTCAGTCCTTGCTGTTAGCATTTTGAGAAGTGAAATAAAAATACTAAGGTGAAATTTGGGGATTGAGACCAGCTTAACATACAAATTTTTAATTAAAATTGAGCAGCATTTGATGAAGCAAGCAAAATTGCTAAGCCAAAACCAAAGAATGCCTTAAATTCAATCAAAACAAAAGTATGTTTGGAAATGTTCCATACATATTTTCATAATCAATGCAGTAAAAAACCTAGCTGTTACCCTGGAGCACAAAAGAAGGGTAAATGTAATGGGTATGGAAGATTCACACTAAATCCATTTTATAGAAGTTGGTGTAGAAGACTAAGCGAACCTCTGGCTGCAGAAACAGCTGATTTCAAATTCTGTATCTATCACTAGACAGACATGTTTGACACTGGGAAAATTATTTAACTTTTCTGTGATAGACATTATTCAACATTATGAAGCAAACGTAAAAGAATTATATAAAATTTAATAGATGCTCAGTAAGTATAAATTTATTTTGCTTTGTGTTTATTGCTAGCAAAAGGGGAGGCTGGTGACTGAAACATCAATGGGAGCATGAAGAAACAGCCTATGTAACCCCACATCCCCATCTCTCTCACTCTCTCCCCTCAAAACCTATAGTCCGCATATCCTAAATACCCTGACTCAATCAGAAAGCTCAATATTACGTGCCATTCCTTGTTTGAAATGGAAGGCTGAATATAAGAAGCTGATGGTGTGACCACATGCTTCTATGTGCCAAACATCAATTATAATACTGAAAATACTAGAACTGGCCATTTTCAAAGTTAAAGAAAAAAAGTCACAATCAGTAAGGAGCTCCAGTTTGTATTGAATTTCTCATCCACGTTCTTCTGTCTTGGGGAACTTTTATGTATCAATTAATGTGCTTTCCCTATAATTGCAGAAAGATGGAGATTCTCGTTACCATTCATCCTTGTCAGCATCGCAATTGCAAAAGTGCCGAGTGTCCACGCAGCTCTCGTCCAGGCCACATTCACACTGCTGGACTCCAGGAGGAGAGCCTCCCCAGTAAGGGTGCCGTTCATTGGAACGCCCAATCCACCAGGTAAATGGTGTTCCATCTGGAAGACAAGATATTTCATCTGTCAGATGACGCAAGCCTGAAGTCACACAGGGGCTGGTTCAGAAACTGGGATGAAAGTATCTTGGAGAATAGGTGTATACAGATAATCTCTCTCCCTTCCTTTCTTCTTCCTTCCCTCACATCCCCCCTTTCCTCTGCTTGCTTTCTTCATCCCTTTGTTTCATTGTCTTGCTCTTTTGTTCCTTCTTTTTCCATCTCTGTCTCTCTTTCTCTCTTTTTCTATATAATTAAATTTGCATTTATACCTCCTTATGCCTGCATATATGTACACATACAAACAACATTTTTATCAAAATATTTATAAAGTCAAATATTGATAAATGGCAATATTGAGAGGCAGCATCAGAAACTTAACTTCTTATATCACAATTGTAACTTAGGTAAGTATTCAGACCAAAATAGTTTAATATATGAATTTAAAAAATAATAATTTTCTTTTAAAATTACCAGAGAAAAAGGAGAACACCAGGACCAAGATTAGTCTGACTTCTGCCCTCAGTTCTGGGTGTATGATGAGGAGATTAGACACTGGAGTGAAGAAGCAGCTGGCTGTGTAAGAGGGCTGGTTCTGACGGCCCCCCATTGATTTCTCTCATTAGTAGTAGCCCCGCAGTTACTATATCTTCTGATTTTATTTTTTAAAAAGAAGTCATAAATTCAAAACTCAAAGATTTGGGAGAAAAACAAATAAAAGCACTGTAAAGGCTGATAATGTGTGGACTGACCACACCCTTGTGAAGGTCATATTTACCTCACATAAAGCTGGTACGTAACCTGTGATTTCCAGTCTTTACAGTTAATTGGAAGCCGTTTTTTGAGTCTTGTCCTTGTCAATTGTTTTATTTACGAAATGTAGTTTAGTGAAAACTGCTGGGTTTTTTATGATTGAGAATATTTCAGTCGCTTGGAATTATCATTCTGAAAGCGATACTGCAACCAACACAAGGTAGGTAGAGATGGAAGTGTTGTACATCATTAGGCCGAAGGATGAGAGGCCTGGGCTCCCTTTGGTAATGGTCTTATTTGTGTTTGATATACCACAGGTGCTTAACATGTGCTTACTTAAAACATAAAAGGAATACATATTAGGGGCCACTTTATAACATTTGCAATTTTACCGTAGAATAATAGCAATTGTCTGAGGATGCCACTAGGTTGAAGTTTTGCCTCATCAGTATTCTAGCTTACATGCATATTATTATGTACAAACATAAAAGTCACAATCTCTATATACAAATAGCAACAAGTTTTGCTTACTTGCCTCCAGGCTAACATCCCCATGAAACTCACTGAGGCAAGTAGGAAGAAACCAGGCAACCTAGAATTTTCAATAATCTGACGGTCATGAGAAAAACACACAGAAGATACTTTGAAAAGTAGCAGCATTTTAGGGGTACTGATCCATGAAGCAGAGGGCCTGAAGGACTGCAGTCACCCCAACGTAGCACTCCACTCTCTGCCTAAAGTAAGTTCATTTCCTGTCATCTTTAAAGCTAGAGATTTAGTTAGAGATGTCTGTTAACCAGTGTGTTCTTTTAAAGACTTGTTATAAGCGGTAAGAATTCATTTTCTTTAGTTCCAAATAACTACAAACCATTGTAAAATACTTCACATAAATTGCTTTCTTTCTAAATCCCTGCTCGGATGAGCCAATAATGCATGGCCTAGAGGACTGGCAGGCTTATTTGGGGCATGGAGTACTTTCAGGGCTGGAGTAAGTTTAGGTGGATCGTCGCAGCGTTAGTCCAGCCAGCACGAGGGTGAAATTTTGTATCTGAATATATTTGTCAGTGTTGGCCTTGGACCCACGAATGGAAATTAATCTCTCAACTTCTCCCTCCTTCCAGCAGCCCAGGCCTGTCCTCTCAGAATCTAGAATCCAGACTACACAGTCAAGTCCCATGTCAGCCAGAGTTACTTTGTTTATGAGCTACCTGAAAGGCTGTAAGCATATCAGTTGCATCGTTACTAATGGTATAAGCTCTGAACAGCCAATTTGTGTGTAACTTCTGTGGATGTGCTGCTTCTAGTAGATTTACCTATTCTTATATGGTGTTTTCACTCCCTGGAAGTTGCATTAGCAGCCCAACTCTTTCTTCTGTTTTGAATCCATCAACATCTTGCACCACTTTGGCCTCTTAGCTCTTCCCTCTTAATGTCTGGCTTAAAGGTTGATATGTTTAAAGGCTAAAAACAATGTTTTAACCAACTGACTCTCAACAAGTAAGAAAAAAGGGAGAGAACAAAAAATTATATATGTATATATGAAAACAAGAGGATTACTGCTAAATTTTCCCCTCGGATGTCCCATCTTTGTGTCTTGGTCCTTGTGCAGTACTGGAGATATTACAGCAAATGAAGATACTGAGGATCAAACAGGGGCTTGATGCTCCTCAAGTCCTGACTCTAACCAAGTAGTCAGGAAGAAAATCCACATCCTAGGCTGCAAATTTTGGCCATTGAAGAAATTGAATTTATTCTTTCCTGACAGGAGGCTCTTTCAACAGTGAAAGAACAAAGCATGATTATAAATATTTTATTTAAAAATACGCACTCATTCAACAAACATTTACTAAGAATTTATACTATTTCAAACATTGTTCTAGGCACTTGGATTAAATCACACGAGAAAACAAACCAAAATGAAGAAAAAAACAAAACATGCCCTCCCTTAGGTTACATTGTAATTAGGAGGAAACAACAATAATAATATTTAAATAATTTAATACTTAGAAAGGGATAAAAGGTATGGTGTATTAGTCCATTTCATGCTGCTGATAAAGACATACCTAAGACTAGATAATTAATAAATGAAAAGAGGTTTAATGGACTCACAGTTCCATGTGGCTGGGGAGGCCTCACAATCATGGTGGAAGGCAAAAGGCATGTCTTACATGGTGGCGGACAACAGAAAATTGAGTGCCAAGTGAAAGGGGAAACCCTTATAAAACCATCAGATCTTGTAAGACGTATTTCCTACCATGAGAACAGTACGGGGCAAACTGCCCCCATGATTCAATTATCTCCCACCAGCTCCCTCCCACAACATATGGGAATTATAGGAGCTACAATTCAGGATGAGATTTGGGTGTGACACAGCCAAACCATGTCATACATGGAGAATGTGAAACAGGCCAAGGAGAGCAAGTGTGCTATGGAGAAGTGTGGTGTGTTACAGTTTTAAACCATATGAATCAGGAAAGACTTTGATGAAAAGATGTCCTGAACAAAACTCATAGGCCATGAATAAGCCGAATAAGCCACCTGTGGCCTTCTAGAAAAGCTCATTGCAGACACAGGAAATAAACAATATAAAGACCCAATCAGGGCATTTTTTTAGAATCTGTGGCCAGGTTTTTAAACTGCACTTTGCATAATGTTGCAAATGTTCTAATAGGAAGGTTTAACAGGAAAAAGAAAATGGGTAGCAGAAAACAGATAAAATCAAATTTAATTGATCAGGTTCTTGATTAGAAGGTAAGAATTTACTCTGCCTGTTCCAAGCCAAAATGCATTTATTAGGAAGATGCTGGACTGCCACAGAATCATAAATATAAAACCCTGCCCAGCTGGCTGCCGCTGAATGCCAAAGGCTTACAGACAGACTCAGTTGACATGCTGTCTGCACCACCAACACCTCCCTCCAAGTGTCTCGTGCTGCAACCCCTGTCTCCCCACAGACAAGTTTTTGCAGGCCCTGTGTCTGCCAAGAAGAAGGCTCACATGGAGTCTGCTTCCTGCGGTTCTCTTCCCATCAGAGCATCTCACAGGTAGGACTGATGGGTAGAGCACAAGTTGTATGCTTGAGTCCCAGTGGGAAGGGAGATTGGGGATTTGAATTCTGACATCTTTACTGTGGAGGCAGGTCTCACAACACAATTTTCCCTAACACAGAAATGTTATTCAAAAGCTAAGCACACACTTAGTATCTCTTAATGGATCTATATTTTAAATCTCTGAAATCTCAATTTCTTCTACCTCATGGGGTTGTTAATCCAAATATAAACCTATTCTGATGCCTCTGATGAACAAATAACTCTATGAAATCTGGTGAGCAGGGGCTAGGGAGGTTCCACAATTTTGCCCTGACAACCAGGAAGGCGCTTTGCTTTGACAAGAAGCAAATGGGGAAAATTTCTGTTTACCCCACAGCTGCCTGCATGTGACACAGATATCTCCACAGTAGAGGTCTGCATTATGTACTGTGCTTCTAGGGCCTGGGGCTCCGGGGATTTGGGAGGCTAGCTCTTTGGCTAGGAAGCCAGTGTGTTTCATACACAGCCCAGCAGCCATACACTGCAAGGACTTCCACAAGAGAGCTAAGACTAAGAAAGCAAGAGGACTGGGACCTGCTGTTACCCTTCCAGGAAGCCTCAGCAGCAGCCTCAAAGCTCTTGGAAAGTTGGCAAGGTCCTCTGTAAGCAAAATATAAGAAAAGACAACTGAGGAGTTGCATGAATTTACACTACTTCTATGCAAATATTATTGTCATGTAACCTCATGCATATAAACAAGATATGGGAAAACTCAACTTACAAGGTATGAGAAAACTCAAATTACGTGTGTGTGTGTGTGTGTGTGTGTGTATCCTCCTAAGAAATTATTTGTTTTAGGGTGTACACAGTAAGTGATCACAGAAGGTGATCTTACACACTCCCACACAATAATAATACCATAGCACAATGCAGTGTCAGCACTGAGTGCTAGAACCTTGTCAGGATCTCCCTACCCCAAGTTTCAAGGAGATAACCATGACTGTTTTGCTTCGTTGCCCACAACATGCAAACTGAAAGGCTCAGTTTAAGCCCTGTAGCTGCCTTCTTTTCAAATGTTCAGTGTCTTTCTGAGTTTTTACTCAAAATATTTTTATGGACCTAAATTGTTTCCCAGTTTTAAAGTAGGCACAGTATTTGACAAACAAAAGAGAAAAGTTGGCAAAGCTGCTATGTAACCCACTTGGCAGAGAAGACTGCATAA